TTTTATTTTTAATGATTAAAATTTATTCATATATATTAAATATAATCATTTTAAAAAAATTATAATAAATTTTAATTATTAAAAAATAAAGAAATGAATAGTTGAGGTTTTATATAAATATAATACATAAGATATGTGTAAATGAATTTCTCCTCTCTTAAAATTAACTTTTTTTGAATAACTTAATTTATTACTTAATTGATTTTATTATTTAATTAAAAGAATGAGTCCAGAAAAAAGATTTAGGGACAACTTTATGTTTAAGTTAGGAAAATGATAGAGGAACAATATTTTTGTATAATATTTTCATATAACCATAAATGATTGACTTTGTTTTACTCTATTAAGATTTATGATATTATATGCATCTATTCATTTAATAATATGTAAAGTTTATATAAAATAATTATACAAAAAATTATCCATATATTATTACCCTTTAAGTTATGTATTGTATAAATGGTAGGATTAAAATGTCAAGGCCTTTGTGTCCTATCACCATGTCAACATTTTAAGCCCTTGTGTTATTTCCACATAATATCATAATTTAAAAAGGAAATGAATTATATAATTTTCCGTATAACTTGATATACTATTTCATACTTAACTGTTTTTACTTTATTAAGACCAATAATATTATACGTATCAATTTATTCAATAATATGCAAAAAATATAAGTAAAAATTGTATAACTAAATTGTTGCATATCACTTTCACTACCTTTGAAAAAAAATAGGGATTTTTCAGACTTAACGTGCCATGTCATTGGTTGTTAATGGAATTTTAAGGAAGGGCAAATTTTGTACTATATTAAAATTTTTTTGAATAGGTTTACATTTTGGATGAAGGAACTCGAATTCCAACCTTTAAGTTGAGGGTGCACTTTATTATTTGGTTTATAGTCATCAAGTCACAAAATCCAAATGCTTGTACTATATTGAATTTAATAAGTAGAAGGACCAAGAAAGTTATTACAAAAATTTGAGGCAAAAGGTGCCATTCACGTTTTGTTATTTAAAATTTTTGTTTTTCAGAATTCGGCCTAAATTTAACAAAATTTCTTATAAGATTTTAAGAATAATAAAATTTTAACAAAATTTAACAATAAAAGTTAAATTTAAATTAATTTCTTAAAAATAAAAATTTTAAATAACAAATTACATCAATATTTTTATAAATAACAATTTACTTTAACACTAATTTTAGAGGTAATTTACATGTTTAACGAAAAATTTCAGAGAAACGGTCTACTCCAGCCCACCGACATGAATTCTGGGTTAAGATTGTTCACCTCTTGTAGATAGCGTGTTCAAATCCCGTGGAATTCATTTCCTCTTCTCTCAATTAATATATGTAAATAATTTTAAATTGGTAAAAAAAAGGAAAATTTTTGACAGACCACTTTAGTACTAAATTAAAAAAGTTGATGGACCACAAAGGTTTTTTTTCTTTTTTTTCTTGATGAGACATGCCAAGTCATTAAAACTTTCAAGGACAGTTAAAATTTCATGGGAAGTAAAAATTAGGATTCAAGTCCTAATCTTACTAGTGAAAAAGTATCTAACCGATTACCCAACCTACTCTTCAAAAGGTACATTAAGTTCAATCAAATAAAATCTGGACAGACCCACCTTGGCATGGCAGAAATAGACATCCAAGAAATCCAATCCCACACACAGCGCATCTAGAACATTCCTTAACAATTAGAGGTACAGCCTTTCCTAACATTCATTCAGCTAATTTTCAACTCAATTCAAGACTGCTAGTTGTTCCAAGTACAAATTTTCAGAAGTTCTCTTTTGAGGTTATTACTGAACGGAAAATGCTTGGCATTGATGTTTTAAGTATGTCAAGTCATACTCACGCAAAATTATACTTGACAACAAAAATTAATATAAGAAGAAAATAAACTTTTAATTTTTTCCAAAAATAAACTTTTAACTTTTTCCAAAAATAAACAAATATTGTTTTTTGAATACAAAAAATATTCAACTCATGCATGATGTAAGACAGACTTCATCAAGTTATTTAAATAGTCATTACCCTGCTTTAACACTTATAACAACACGAGTTATGATTAAAAAGTTAATCTTAAAATAAAAGAATTTATCTAACTTATATTTTAATTTGTATTTTTAAGATATAGATTCAAAATGTATTAAATAAATCCTTTTATCATAAGTTTATATTGAAAAAATAAAAATTAACTTTTAATTTATCAATTGTTTAATTAAATTAAATTAATACTAAAATTAATATAATTTTATAATTTTTTTTATATATTTATAAAAAAAATATAATAAATGCATCTTTATAATGTACCTTAATAAAAAAACCCAAAATAAAATTATCCACCTTGCACTCTAATTTTTTTCCAATGAAAAGCTCTAATTTTTTGCCAATGAAAAATTATCCACCCTAAACTTGGATTAAATCGAACATTTGTCCGATATCGATCTCACCATTGCTAAAAGGCTTTTCATTTGTAGTTAGCCATTTCGTCAATGCCAATGCAAATCACACCACATCCCAGCCCATCTGCATATCTCGAGAAGCTGCTAATCCTTTATGATGCACGGAAGCCTCCCTTTCCAACAATTCCTTTCGGCAACTGTTTGTAATTCCCATCATTTATATAGCACTTACACCAGATTTGAGTGGTTACCTTGCATGTGAGGATTAAATGAGAACTGTCTTCAAGATATTCTTTGCAAAAACAGCAGATAATGTCCCTTGTATCAGTAATAAATAATAAGGAAAGGGTTTCTCTATCTTGTATTCTTAAATTACAAGATAAAAAATATATTGATTGTAGTTTTTTTTATTATAAATGTATATAAAAAAGTAAAATTTGATATTAATTTTAGTATTAGGTGAATTTAATTAAATAATTGATAAATTAAAAGTTAATTTTTATTTTTTCAATATAAATTTATGATGAAAACGTGTATTTAATATACTTTTTAAGGTACATGTTAAACAAACTTATAAAAAAAAATCATTGATATACATTTTATTTAATAAATTTTTTAATACTCATTTTAGTTTAATTGTTAAAATATAATATAGACACAGTTGATTTAGTAAGTTTTTGCATTTTGTATGTATAATCACATCTTTAACTTTGATATTTTTAATTTCATATAAAAAATAATAATTTTTTAATAAATATATTATGCATTTTATTGAATCAAAATGTGTATCAATTATTGTCTAATAACAAAATAAACTTAAGAAAATCTTTCTTCAAAACTTGATTATTATAAGCATTTTAAGTATAAAATGAAACGGTGTTTCTTTCTAAAAAAAATTTTCACACTTAAAAAGAGAGAGAGAAGTGTTTAATCATAACTAAGTTCAAAATAAACTCTCCAAACAGCCCCTACATCTGATCCAATTCAAATTTCAGCCTTCCTCATCTGCACCTGAACGGGTCTTAATAAAATTTTACTCCATCTCTAGGGGGTCAAGATGTTAAGCACTATTCGATATATAAAATTATAAATGGTGGAGTACTCCACCTAAAATTAATAAAAGTCTCTCAATTTCATTTTCTTTACTTTTTTGGATATTCTCCCTTCCACAAATTTCTCTTAAAAAAAAATCATAATTCCTAACATTCTGGACCTTTGTGGTTTATTAGAAGCCACAAATTAAGTTGAACCAAACAATTAAACCCTCTGAGATCTTATGGTATTTGTTGATCACACATGTCCCCAGATAATAATGTTTTTTTGTGTGTTTTTTTCCGTTCCCAATAAAAGGTAGAGAATCCATACTTCTTGTACGTCCGTACTATCTTAATAGAGTAGTGTCCAGCTAACTTTCCATGCCGCAGTTCAAGGCGGAACGCTCATCCTACGTTGAGCCACTTCTCTCCGGTACCACAACTTTAGCTGGTTTCAAGAAGAAAGCACTAAAATGGTTTCTGAAGACAGTGATGTGGCTCGTTTTCATTTCATGGCTAGTTTTCATTTTCCTCTCCTCATTGCAGTATGGGAATGCACTCGTGGAGAAGTGGTCTCAAGAGACCACTGAAACTTTTCTCGGCATAGAAGGTTAGGTTTCTATACCATTCTCTCTCTCTCTCTCTCTCTCTCTCTCTCTCTTTTTCTGGGGGTGGGGGGCGGCGAGGGTGTTGGGGTATAACACCAAATTCCTTAGTTGCGATCTGATGATCTCCTAAGAAACATCTGGCCTTAATTAGTCAACAAACTAGGAAACAAACCTCTTTCCAATTTAAATACTACTACAGATTTTTGTCATGCTTGCTTCTATTTCTGCTGAATCTTTTAATTGTTGCACAATTTATGTAGGAGCATGGCTTATGCTATTCAGTAGCCCTGTTGTGGTACTAGCACTACTCTCCGTGCCACTTCTCCTTATTTCCGGGGAAGAAGAGGAGATGATGAAAGAGTAAGGATATATATATATACACAAACAAATATACATAAATATATACATATACATATATGAATTAAAATTAACTTACACACAAGTATTATACGTAACTCTTATACAAAATCTTAATTGTTCATGTCTTTGAGATTAGTCTACTTTTAAGCTATTTTTTTTTAGAAGTTAATTATCTTTTCATCTAAAAATCATAAGTCTCATTTATAGTGAAAAATGAAAGACAACGATTTTGTGTAAAATTGATGTATAATAGAATTATAGGATAATGCAAAGGACCATAATTGGTGCACATCC